ACTCCGTCCAGTATGAGGTGAACTATATTTTCCAAACCCTTCCAATATGGGACTTATCAGCCCCGTTCAACTGAGGTAATGTCCACAATAGGGTTTTTCTATGTACTGAGTCCGTCCACCCTTTCCCAGGGTACCCAATAAACTTCCATATAAGCCGATTCTCATCATCCCAACAACTACTAAAGCATATTAACATCTCATTCTATATTCACTTATCAATTTAAATAATATATAAGCAAGTGATATAGTTTATCATAACTAACAACTAGGTAACCAGATAACCAAATAAATAATGCAGGAGGAACCAAATAAACCAAATAATCCAGAAGACCATAAAAACTATCAATCTAAACATGCACAATATGATAGGAAGTAATTTAGGTAGTACAGAAAAATAAATAGAGAAAGCATGACAAATATGAACTAACTGGTTCCGGTTCCACTAGTAACCTATAATATTTTTAGGGTTGTTCTAATTTTTCATAAAATACACAACTATTGATTATTAATCTTCAATTTACCGTAACAGAGAATAGGGTAAGAGATCCTTACTCGGATCGGTATTTTGAAATACTGTACTATCTATTACATCTCTTAACAGGTCCCAAATTTTCTGAAGTTTTTCTGCAGGAATCAAAATAGTCATCACGTACCCAAAAAAAACCTAAAATCGGTGTTAAAAACCCTCTGGCAAGTTTTAGAATTTCAGCATGGCAGTGCCGCCGTGCCCCAGTGCTGGCTTCGCCCTCCACGGCGGTGTTTCACCTTGGCCTGGTCGGTTTCGACTGTTTTAAGCCAATTTTCGCTAGTTTTACAAGTATTCCTACGAAAAAATATGTTAGGGAGTCTTAGTTGGTCAAAAAAGTCGAACAATCGAAACTTATCGATGGGGTGGTCTCGAGGTGCAGTGGCTCTACCGATCCTCCTTCGCTGTTGGAGTTTCTCCTTTGACTAACATGCACATAAAAGGACAGTGAAGATAATGGTTAGAAAATCGTGTGAAACAAAAACGATAAGGGGCTCATCAAAGGAGTTTTAGGATTTCGGCTGCGGTGACTCTGACGGGTTTTGTCTGTGGTTTTTGGCTCACCCACTTTTCATTTTGCTCCGATTTGGCCACAAGGAGACTCAAAATTGAATTCTGAGTGGGTAGGGAAGAATTTTACCTTTTTTGTCGGTCGGCGGTGGCTCTGGTGCAACAGCACCCGGGGGTCAGTCCCTTTCTCCAGCCACTGGTCCTTCTTCTCCAGTGAGGGCAGGTGCAACTACGATTAGGGTTCCCCTGCGACCCGATGTTTATATACTTATCCCGCGTCGATCTGGGTTGTCCATTCACGTCGACGTAAAGCGAGAAAAGTCGTCCGATTGTTGTTTGTTTAAGCCGATTGCATGAGAAAATATGAGTCGTTCATTGCGATTGATCTCATTCGTCTGATCGTGCCTAAGGAGGGAATACATCTGAGTCGTTCAGGCGTACAAGATTAAATCTAGGTCGTTGGATCACTAGGCATGCAAATCACTCACGCGGCCTCCCGCGTGGCATTGACGTAAGTGTGTTTTGCCATCCGACATACTTTGGTTCACCATGGCTGCTAACTGGACCGTCCCACGTAGCCAAATTTTTTATTTTTGTATTTTGGCCCCATGTTTCTAATTTTTCTTTCAAAAATACCCCCGAACCCAAAATTTCACCCATCTTCCCCAAAATTGCTTTCAATTTCATCTCTAACATATTTTTCTCAAATAATTTAATAAAATTAAATAAAATAATATTTTTTAATTATATATATTTTATAAATAAAAAAAATTATCTCATGCCAAAATTTTGAGCCCGGGTATTATATCATGTGCTTTAATTCATTAATTTTAATAGCTTTTTTGTTTATTAGTTTATCTACCCGTTTTGTCCCTATCTATGGGTTGGTTTGTAATAGATGTCTTGATCACGTCTCCTTTAGTTGTTAAGCTAATAATTTATACTGCATGTGTAATTATCGCTCTATTGTTCTGTAAATATGAAATGAGTTGGTTGTGTGTGATTGGTGACTGGTGGATGATGTGAACATTTATGCTAAAGGACTTACCGTGTATCATGAAAAATGGTGTACAAACCCGATACATAGGGCAAACTCTACCGTGAACATTACCTCAGTCGAATGGAGCTGGAAAATCCCATACTAGAAAGGGTTGAGAAGTATTGTTCACCCTCATACTAGACAAAGTATTGAGACGGTGGTACGTTTAGCGCCCATTACGGGACAGGGTATGGAGATGGTCGGTTAATCAATAAATTGGATATTGGGTTCATGTATAGGGGAAACCCCTATAGACTCCCAGAAGCACCAGTAGGTAGGTAAAAAAAGTAAAGTTGACGATTATTGTTTCTTGAAATGTATGATGAATTGTTATATTGATAATAATTTTCACAAGTCGAATTTGAAAACTTAAAATGTGAGTATGAAAACTTATGTTTTTACATTAAATGAATTTACTTAAAAAAGAAAATGGCTTCATTAGTTATTTCATTATTTTTACCAACTTTTGATTTTCTGTATCAGTGTTAAGTATTGACATTCTTACTGGACTAATGTAGCTCATCCCCCCCCCCCTATTTAACCATTTCAGATCAGGAAAACTAAGATCCAGATCCTGAACAGTAAGAAGGTTGCAACTAAAAGTTGCTTCCCGTATCCCATCAAAGTTGACCAGTGGAGATTGACTCTATAGGATTTTAGTTATATTTTTATTTCTGTTATATCAATTTTCTAAAAGGGACATTCCCGTAACCATATTAGACATTCAAATTTACGGTGCAATGAATATAAACTCTAAACTCTTAATTGCTTTCGCTATTATTTTATTAATTCAATATTTTCTTTTCTATTAAATATTGGGCATTGATAAAACCTTTCAGAAATTATAGATTGGCCCAGTTTTTGCGTATTTACTCATTTTAATTTTTTTTTAATTTACAGAAAACTCCTAAATTTTAATTTTTTCTTCATTTAGGTCCTTAATCCCCTCATTTATAATTTTTTGTTTTAATTTAATTATTAAATTTTATTCAGGTGTATTAATTGTCATAGTTTTTTAAAATTCTATTTATTTTGAATATTTCTATTCGCATGTGTTATAATTATTTATATTTTTAATGCTAATTTAAGTCTTAAATTTATCTTAGTTTTTTTTAACTATGCTATTTATATAATTTTATTTTCTTTATTTTTAAATTTAAATATATGTTAAGAAAATACAGTGACCGATTAAGACTTGAATTTATCGAGCTAGTGTAGTATAATTAATTTTTTCTTTGTTGATTCATTTATTTCCAAAAAAAAAAGATTTTTTTTTTTTTTGTTTTCAATTAGTAGAATTTACGTTAATCTAGTATAGACTAAATGACATCCCATATTAAAGATCATATTTTTATGATCAATTTCTATATGGCAATTTGAAAGTTTTGTTTTAAAAAAAAAAAAGCCAAGATCTTATAGTCAATTATAAGTGGCAACTCGAAATTTTAAAAAATAAAAAAGAATAAAGGTCTAATGGAATGAACTTGAAAAGAAAAACTAGTATTTATTTGCAAATTCATGAAAACATGTGAACTTACATTGGCTACTTATTCTGGTCATTGTTTCTTTCCACTTCTATACCATTATGGTGGTAGGCATAATTTTATGTTAGGTATAATACATTTCAAAATAAGGTTACAGATATTCTCATAAACAAAAAAATATTAATATTAATAAGATTGTAATAAAGTTTAAAAACAGTATTTTATAGTAATTTTAAAATATCAGAACTGTTTTGAAACCTAAAAATAAATTTAAAACTTTAACGAATTTTTAAGATTTAGAAACAATATGAGAAATTTTGAGATTCTTTGACTTCAAATTAGTCTTTTAAGGCTCTAATACAATTCCAACATTCCAATATCATTCTAGAACTATGTGTAAATATATCTTGTGATCACACAACTAAATTATTATCAAATAAGATTTTCTTTTTCATTTTTATATAACCTTCTTTTAATTGTAATTGTGAAAATGAATTCAATCAAAAAAAAAATTTATCTTCAATAGAAAAATTAGAATAAAAATTAAAGTGATACAATGATAATTCTTAAAGTAGTAAGAATATGTAGTACAATTCTTGTAAGTAATATAATAATAAAAAATAATAGTTAATGGGATTAAAAACTTTATGTTTAAAGTCTTCAAAGACACCTGTATTTTCATTAAAATTATAAATTTTATGTAAATAAAAATAAATTATTTAAATATTCATTTTCTAAACAATTATTTATATTATCATTAAAATTATAGCTTATAAATAAAACTAAATTATTTAAATATTTAAAATAAATTAGAGTTTAGTATCTTGTAGTTTGGAGTTTTTCAAATCCGATATATATTATTTATTTTTAATAATTTCAATATGTATGACTAAAAAATAATAAAATAATATAATAATCTTAATTAAAATACATTGCTTATTTAAATTTAAACATTGTTTAAATTATGATTAATAATGAACTTCCCACAAATAAAAAAATAAAATTATAATAAAACTTAAAATTAGAAAAAGAAAATAATATTGCAAAAATTTCGGAAAATTTTGTGTGTAGTAAATCTAATACAACTTCACATGTCAAATTTTTTTAAATATATATTTTTTTATATATTTCAACGGTTGATTGACTAATTTCAAATTACAAAATTGAAAATATTAAAAATATATCACATGTATTATATTCAAAATATTTATAATAAATAAATATCAAAATTCACTATAAATTTTCATAATAATTTAATAGTACAAATCATTATAAATGTTCATAACACTTGAAACTTACAATTAATTATATATTGTCATAATTTATTTAGTTATAATAAATATTATTATTTAATTGAGCTTAAACGTTACGTAAGGATGACGCAAAAATTAGTTTGAGTTTTTTATTTTTGTAGTAAAAAAACACGCCTCACATGATCGCATCAACGACATTCGCCATTGGATTTGGTAGCCACCGTTTCTTCTTCTTCTTCTTCTTCTTCTCGCATCGAATTCTCAGACAAAAGCTGAGCGGGTGCGTTTCCCCGATCTTTTCTTTATTCTCTCGAGCACAGAAATTTTAATCCAGTTTGTTTATCAAATTAGGCTTTCTTCTGTTGCATCAGATTCTTCAGGTATATAATTCAGTATCCATGTTTAACTCACTGAACATCTACTGCTGAGCTGAGCTATCAGTTCTTTTTTTTCCTTCTCTTTCATTTGTTTTCAGTAAAAAGCATTATAGTATTTGTGCGTATTGTGAAAATTAATGCGCTTTAATTTGAGTAAGATTCTCTGTTTTTTCCATTTTCACTTTTTTTAAAAAAAATTTGGTGTTCTTTTTGATGGACCTAAACATGGGTTTTCTTTAACGCAAATTCTTGAAAGAGTTTGACGAACAGAGGTTTGTATGTTATTTATAGGACCGTCTGTCTGATTTGTGGTATCTGGGAACTCTTTTATTTTGATGTTAGTTCTAAACCCATTTTTTCCTATCAAAATGAGATTTTAAGGTTGGTGTCTCAGACACTCTAAGGCTTAATTTTACTTCATATTGATGAACCAATTACTCCTTTCTCAAGGCAATTTTGATCTCTTCCTAAGGCTGTACACTGTCCTTGAACATTTTGCCTTTATTGCTTTGTTCACATGTAAAATCTGTCTACTCTTTTTTAAATGGGATGTCCCAGCTTGAATCAAGTTCCTGGAGACTGCTACTTTTTCTTTTCTTCATTCATGTACTATATGCGTGTGATTCATCTCATCTTTCTCTGCTCTTCAACTTCTCAGAAGTGTATTAATTTCTCATTCTTTTTCTTCTGCTGAAGTGACAAATGAATAATCATTCTAGCACTGTTATGTGGAGTTTTAGTTTCTAAATGTTTAGTACTTATTTTGCAGGACTGTAATGACAGATAATAGGGATGATGAGAACTCAACTTTAGTTGATAACTCATTTGGGAAGCTTCCAGATCATCTCCTAATTGAAATTTTTATTCGAGTTCCTGTTACAGACTGGGGAAGAATATCCTGTGTCAAAAAGCATTGGGCAAAAATGTTTGGGGGAGAATGCCTGTGGCAGGCTGCTATTAACAGGACATATCCTCTGGCTAGCCAAGTGAAAAGGTGGCCTGGACCCATCCCTTGTGGGTTGAGCAAAAAGTAATGTAGAATAAGTTGAATGTTAATGCTGTTTTTTCATTATTTTTTTCTTGGGGTCCATTTCCACTCTTCTTTCACTCAGCTTCTTGCCCTTGCTTCAGTAATTCCAGTCTTCAGAAATCATTAAGTAATTGTTAGTAGAATTTGTTCTGCAAGTTTAGTTTTTATGTCACAAAATTTTGAAGAGAGGCCAGACATACTGCTGATGGAGCATTAGTGCATTTTCAGCAACTTGGACATGCTTGATGCTATTGTAGTTTTGATCTTAACCAAAGCCATGTCAAGTCTTCATTTTAATTTCTTGACATCTTTGGGAAGTTTTGATTGCTCAAATAGAGCAATGGAACTTTATAAGGCCATGTGCTATTATGATGAAGGGCATTCTAGTATCTTTATAACTTAATTCGGATATATTAAGATTAACTGGCACATTTCTTATCCTTTTCAAAGCTGAAAGTTGGCTGTCTTTTCTCTTCCCAATAAATAAGTATTATCGTGACTTATTGGTGGATGATTGATTCAGATCAATAATTTATATTTTAGATTTCTTTAAAATTATTAGTTGCATTCATAATCTAGAAGTGCTGCCTTTATCATTAACATCCATTCTGAATGATGGCCTGTCTGCTACAATTACAATATCCATTCTTCTACGCAGAAATGCTCTTCTTTCTGGCTGTTTATGCTCTATCCACAGCCCACTGGCCCATTAGTTAATAGTTGTTCTATTTCCTTATAATACTATTTTCTTTTTGCATAGGGATATTCTAACCACCTCAACTTATGTCTGCAGGAGATATACAGCTTTACATGTCAATAAACACATCTTTGCTTTGGATAGCGATATAGACGAGATAGTTGGTCATGCATACCTATTTTTGAAAGAGCAACTTGAACTTTCAACTATGCCTCCTCCTTCTTCTATACTTCATGGATCCATGATTGGTATGGCACATATTTGTAGAGCCATGTTTTTTGTTCATGCTGGGAGCTTTAATAATGTTTTAGTTTGAATTATATGGAAAAATGTTTCTTCAGGCCGATATCCCTTTCCAATTTGGATTCTTTTTGGTTTATGCTTGTTCCTGCATCTTGGAAATGTGTCCTGTGGTCTTGTGTATTACAAGTCTGGACGCTTGTGCATCCTTTTGATAATGCCTTTACATGTTTTCCATTGTGCCAGTTCAATTATTAACAAGAAATGCCAATATCAACCACTATTTAATATGTTTACAGTAATAAATGTAGATGTGCTTATGCACTTCGGTAGTTACTTTATTTTCAGAGAATTGTAACTGAAGGTTTGAAGCATAGAAAATCTTCTTCTACTTGTCTTAATTTCATTCTTGGTGGTGCTACAATTTATAGAAAATAAAGTAACAAAATAACAACTTCCTAACAAATTTATGGGGAGAAGGAATTGCAGAAATGGTTATAACTATTCTGAAATTCTCTCCACTAGGCAAAACAGAAAAGAAACAAATTTATTTTCTTATGTTTTCAACAGTAACATGATAATTTATCCACAGAGTCAAATCTGTTTTTTAAATGTCTGCCTATTGTAACACATGCAAGTCAAATTCTGCAGAAGTAAAATGATTGTCAGGAGCAACTTCTCCTGAGAAATTTAGTCCAGTTTCTTTAGCTATTAACTTTTTTTGAGATAAATTTTATCTTTTAACTTTGGTAACTGCAAATTTGCTCTGCATGCTGCATGCAATAATTTTAGCAATCTTGTACTGGTTACGTTCAGCCAGTAGTTTTTATGATTTAGCAGATCAGTTTATTGCTTGTGGAAAATCAAGAGACGTGGCCCATGATCTTGCTTCGCAGATCTGGTTGGCTGTTATTGACAATTTAGACGAAAATGATAACGGATTTCTTGTACTGAAGCGCCTTGCACAGGAGGATGATGTAAGCTGCCGTCCTGAATGCTTCTTCCTTCCTTTCTTTGTTTCTTATTAACATATAAGTGAATCTTCAAATGCCTGCAAAAATTCATTTAGCTAGATATTTATGTCCTAAAAGCGAATTGCACGGAAATCAAACACTAGATTTACTTTGCATGAATAATTTAGTAATGATCAAGTGTAATCGTTCAATGCTATTAGTGGGGGTTCTCTTTCTCTTTTGTTGACTACTCTAATCTAGTTTATCAAAAGAAAAACTACTCTAATATATACCACTTCAAAGGACAGAGTTGTTGCAGTAGATCCCAAGATTGAGAGCTAAAAAGTTTCACCCCATGTCTTTAGGAGCTGCTTTCCTCTGTGTGAAGATAGAAAATAAAACACACACACACCAGCACTCCCATATCAATAGAAGGATAGGTTCTTATATCCGTAAGTTTGCATCCCAAGGGACTGTGGACCAGAAACATTCTTAGGCTCTGCATATTTATTTAAGACCGAGCAACATATAAACATATATATATATATGTGTAGGTACAGAGAGAGACAGAGAAGCTGCGTTCAGCCTTTCACTAATATTAATCTCTCTTATTGTTATGCATTTAATGCAGATTTTTCTGCCATTCCCATACTTGAAATCGGTTGAAGTTCAGTGGAAGGTGTTTGAAAGGCTCTTCACAGATTTTCGTGATTGCTTTAGTCATCCGGATTATTATGATATATTGGCATGTGCCAAGAACAAGTTCCAGCCAATACCATCTACATGGTTGGGTTACTAGTCTGCTTCAAATCTTTGTCTGGAGCCTTGCAAGGTTCTTGTATGTAATCACTGCTAGAAAGCTCTGGACTCCAGCCTAGCTAGATTGGCTGGTATCACCCCTGGATGAGGTTATACTGTACCTGATGGAACTGTATATGCTGTTAATAAGAACATTTCATAATACAGACAAAAATGATCCCTTGGCTGTGGCTGAACATGTAGGCTTTCTGAACTCTTCCCTCCCCTGCCATCTACATTTCTTAGAAGCCCGTTGAACATTTAAAAATAATATTATGTAAAGTTTGGATATATAATCATGGTTTCTATCCAGGTTCTGGGGAACCTCCTCGAAAGTCCATGGGAGAACCTGGGAGGTAGCATGGGACTTGTATAAACTGTTACTTTCACTAACCCTCTATTTTTCTTTTTCTTCTCAGGAGAATAACTTGAACCTGTATACGGATAAATACATCTAGAAAATACTAGTTTTGCCATTGTGCTCTGTTACTGGCTATGGTTTTCTTGCATTTCGAATTGCTTAAAGACAGTTAGCTGTAACCGTGAGTAGAAATGTTGATGTGGTCCTTTTTGGTTTGGACTAAACTCCAACCTTTACATTAAATTATGTGATAGAGCGCAACATGTATACTCTATAATTCATGCCTAGAAGTTCAAGGAGATCCAAACTTGAAAATAGTACTATAGCACATGAGACATGAAAGAATCTCCCAAGGTTAAATGCATTCTTATTGTTTTTAGTTACTCATACGAAAATGTATTCTTATCGTATTTTGTTTATTTAAATGTTATACTATGAAATTTTTTTATTTTTAAGTTAAATAAAAAATATATTTTAAAAATTATTATATCTTTTAATACACTGTAATATAGGTGCATAAAAAAAATTGTAAAAAATTTTATTCAAATTGTTGCATTAGAAGGTAATGCAATTTAATTGTTGAATGGCTTAGAAGATACTTGTTGAATGGCTGAAGTAATAAATGATACAATCCAAATACTGATAACTATCGAAAAAAGTAGCTATGCTCCGATAATTTTTAAGAATAGATAATGTTATAACTCTTGAACGCTTGCTATAAGTCTCTATAAAATGCAAATAAATAACTATAAAAAAAGATAATATAGTATTTATACTACCTATGTTTAATCTACCATTCAATTGAGAACATATTAGGTCTACTAGTATATAGAAAAATATATTTCTATATAAATTCTATTACAATATATAGAATTAAGTTTCACTTTCTAGGGATATTTACTAGTTAGACCACGCAAAACATGAGGCAATGAACTCCAATAACTCGTCTTTGTGCTAGATAAATCAAACACTAACTTACTATAAAAACAACATAATTAACATTTAATATTTTCCTATTATAATAAAAAAAATTAATTTCTATTGAAAAACAACTAAAGAATTATTTTTACCGAAAAGTAGCAATTGTCTACAATAATTCTTTTTAAAAAAATTAAAATGATAAGCAGGTAGATAATAGATATGTAGAAGATCTCGAGTTCATGACAACACAAAAATGATCCTAACAGTGATAGAAATAGAGAGTATGAACTTGTTATATGAAGCGACGATCACTAAATGTTCGACTGAAATGCAAGGAGTGTGGTGTTGGGGAGGATTAGTTTTCGTGTGTGAGATAATGTGTGATTAGGGGATGACATTTTTTATTCAAATTCACTTTGACTTGTTTGAACCAATTCAATAAAGTTTTTTCTTTCTTTTTGTTGAAACGAGTTTATGTCAAGTTAAAATTTGACATTCCAAAATTTGTAACGGTCCCGAAAATTAAAAAGAAAATGTATATAAAAATTATGAGTGCGGAAGCGAAATAAAAAATTTGATTAATATCCCTTACACAATAACTAAACATACTAACAATAGCAAAGAATAAGTTAATTAAAGGAAATACTAGAAATGAGATACTATAAAGAAAACTATAAGATCTCTAGGCATCTACTCGCCGTCTTCCTGCGGAATGGGCTCGGGAACGAAGTCCTCCTAATCTGAAATGGTTAAGTAAGGAATGAGCTACACTAGCCCAGTAAAGACGTCACACTATATTACTGTCACAGAAGTAAAAATTGGTAGAAAAAAAAAACGACCAATGGAGCACAATTTTTAACAAATTCATTTATCAATAATAAAACCTTTTACTATCCACTTACCTCGGTGAGATTTATGAAAACGACTCATAGAAACAATAACATCAAAGATATCATGAATTCATACACACTCTGTAACATAGCACATGTCATACTTTTATATTTTAATCATCAAACAACAATTATCCTCTTTTATCAACTTACCAGTATCCATGTGGATCCATAGGGGTTCCCGCTACACGTGAACCATTTACTTTAACAACTTAATTCCATGGTCGTCCCCATACCCCGTGTGATATGGGCACCAAAATAATAAACTTCAATATCCCGTTTGGTATGCGGGTGAAGCGGGTCGTCCCCATACCCCGTCCGGTATGAGCACTAAAACATTTAAAGTTTCCATACCCCGTCCGGTATGAGACAACGTTTTCGGTAGGGTTTCTTATAGACCCGATCCGTCCACCATCTCCCAAGATATTTAGTGAGACTGTCATCCTATCCAATTATCAATTCAATCTCATTCATATTTGTTCTAAGTCTCTGTTACCCAATTAAACATAAATATTTAAGCAAGCAACGTGCATTTAACAAGGCAAGCATACATTAAATTCACGAAATCAAGCAGCAGTGAAGTATACAGTGATTCATGTATTCGAAACCATAGAATAAATAAGTCAGATACCATAATGCTTTTAAAACTGTAAAATAAATAAAATAAGAACTGATAGAGAAACATCTCCGATTCGGGCTCCATTAGCAATCTTAATTAATTATACATCTCTATAAATTGCAAAAATACGATATTTCCATTTATTAGAACTTTAATCCCACGATAGAAAATAGGGTGAGCGATCCTTATTTGATTCAAAGTCTAAAACTGCTTTTTTTATTACGCCTACGGGCAGTCCCTAGATTTCCTGAATTTTTTTTTTTTTTCGGGAACTTAAACACACTCACGGTACCTACACATGTCTCCAAATAACTCAAAATTAGACCCAGGGCTACTCGGCCAATTTCAGAATTTCGGCACGGCGGCTCCGCCATGCTCGGGCGATGGCGCTGCCGTACACAGCAGCGATCCACCTCGGGTTGGTTGTTTTCGGCCATTTCTGGCCGAATTTAGCCAAACTCGTACCAGTTCTGCGAGAAAACACATGTAAGGCCCTCGGTGGGTCGAAAAAACACAGAAAACCGAGACTTACCGGCAGCGGGGCTCTCCGGTGCGGCGGCTCCTGCGGCTCGAGTCGCGATTTGGTGTTTTGCTCCTGTTAATCTGTAGAGGAAGGAACGGTGGTCACAATTGTGAAAAAATTACATCGAACAGGAATCAGGAAAGGCCTCATCGGAGGCAAAAATTGAGAAAAACCGCAGCGACGTTTTCCAGCCAATTGGCTGGTATTTTGGCTCCAATTTGGCCACAGGTGGGTTTAGAATCGAATTCCAAGTTAATGAGAGAATTTTTACCTCGTTTGGCGGCTGTAAAGTTCTCTGGTGCGGCGGCGGGTGCCAGCGGTCGGTTCCCCGGTGGCTGGGCTGTCTTCTCCGGCGAGGACTCTGGCGGCTAGGGTTGGGGTTTGGGTGTGGATGAGATTATTTATAACCTTCTGCTTTTAATATGAGCCGTCCAATCGCGATTAAATAGGAAATGAATTTGGGTCATTCATCGCGATGCAATCTGGGCCGTCCGTACGCGATTCAATCTGGACCGTCCGTACGCATGCAATCTGGGTCGTCCGTACGCGCTTTTGATCTGGGCCATCCGTGTGCGCGAGAACGGATCTCAGCCGTTCGATCGCGCGCACGCAGATAGCCCACGTGACTCCCTTCCGCGTGGCCTCCCGCGTCAGCGTCTCTGCCACGCGGTGTGTCCTGTTTGGGCAGGGCTGCTGACGTGGCTACAATTTTTCTAAATTGCGTTTTGACCTCTGGGTTTCGATTTTCTTTTCAAAATACTCACAGAACTTAAATTTCATCATTTTTTCTCAAAATGTTTCAATTAATTCCAAAATAATTTTATCCCCTTTATTATGATTATTTTATTTCTATTTAATTAAATTAAAACTAAATTAAAAACTATATATTATTCATAATAAATTATTATTTTTATATAAAAAATTACAAAAAAATTTAAAATAAAATAAAATAATATTAATAAAAATAATAATAATTTGAGGTGTTACAAAATTTGTCTGAACTCAACCGGTATAAATATTTTTTAATTTTTATTATTAAAACTATATTATATTAATAAATATGTTTTAAATTTTTAAAAATTATATTTATATTAATGTAGTAAAATTGTTAGACTATATGTCTTACAAAGTTAAAATAATCTAAAAAAATTATAAAAAATTCAATTTCTCTCCAAATTTGGAACATTCTCAAAGTTACCTTTTATGTATGACAAGTAAATTAAGATTTAAATTTAATTATTTTTTAAATCTATGCTTTTATGGTATGTTTATTATTTATGAATATATGTAAACATTATATATCTACAAAATCATCAAAATATAAATAAAACAGTAGAAAATTAAAATAACATTTTAAAATTTTCTAACTTTATTTCATTGTCTTTATTGTTAATTACGTAATTTAATTTTATGAATAAAATAACTACAAATTTAAAAAAGCAAATCATATTTTCATATGCAAGAAAAAAAATCTAACTATTTTGTCTTCAACTTTTCTTATTTCACATTTATCTGGCCAAACATACCAATTAAAACGGTAATGTCAGTAAAGTAAAACGACAGTTAAAAAAAATCACCAATCAAAGGAATAATGATAGGGAGTTCGGAGTAATTTTGGAAAGTTTTGGAGGTTAGTTTGGTAATTTAAATACATAGCACAAATCAAAACAACTTTTTGGCGGGGGGTTTGGCTTTGTGCACTGAGACAAGAGCTTTCTTCTGACAATATTCTCTGTACGACACTCACTGTTTTCCTCGCTCTTCGTGCTCACAGATCTCTCTCCATTTTTATATATAATTTTTATTCAATAATTCTTTTTCTAGAAATAAATTACATAATAATAGAAAGATTAAATTAAATGGAGAGAGATCTGTTACTGTAATATGCTAATTACTTGGTGAGAGTGTTTAATGGTGGTAAAGTAATAATTATAAAACAAAATCAATATTAGTAAAATATTTAGTTGAAAATGAAGAAATTTTTAATGCTCGCATTTATTTTCTTTCCTCGTAATTGTTAATACATTACTGTTCTCTCCCTCCAACTCATCCACTCACTACTTTACTCCCTTTGCTTGCTCCTGTTTTTTTATTTTTAAAGTTTCTGGTTCTGTATTCTCTCCTCTCTAAATTTTTTTATGGAAGCTTGATCTCGTCGGATTTCTGGGTTCGTAAATGTTGTTTTGCTCTAAACTTTGTTGGGTTTTAAAGTTCTTTTCCTTATATTCATAAAGTTTTTGTCTTTTGGGATTCTTAATGATGCTTGTTTGTCTTTTTTTCTTTTTACATGTAGTGTCACAGGAAGATTTCATTCACTCTTAGCAGTGAAATGAGAGCGAAAATCTACAGGAGAGAGAGAGAGAGATTTGTGGTATTTGAGTGGTGTTGATTAGCAGTCAAAAAGTTCTTGATTTCATGTGTTTTTTTCTTTGGCTTTAGTGTAGTGGGTTTGTACTTTTGACAGCAAAATCATAGACAAGTTTGCAAAATTTTTAGTCGGTTTTTGATTTTATTTGCACTGGTGCTACTTACTCTCTTGTTCAACAGCAGGTGATCTTCTGAATGCATTGGCAAATTTTAGAGCTGTAAAGGAAATATGGAAGCGCATTGTGCTTGGGTTAAGTTTTTAAATAGGAAAGTACTATTCTTTTTTTGGGTAAGATTTTAGATTCTGAGGTGTTTTTGTGAGATTTTCAGGGTTTATCTGCATTGAACTAGGGTTTTTTACTTCTTGTTTTTTTTTCCTTTCACTTGGAGATCTCTCATGGGTTCCATTTGAGGCTTTGAGAAAACAAAAGTACACGAGTGTTTATTATTTTCTACGTACAGAAGTATTGCTACTTTTGTTTGAATCTGTGATCTGAAGTGAAGTTGTAAAAGGGATCTCATTTTCCGAGGAAGAGATCCTCCTTTGCTTATGGATTTCTTCAAAGTCAAAAGATTCAGAAAAGCTCACAAGAGGGACCCAGAAAAGGCTTTAGAAGATAAATCTGTGCCACAGCAAGAGCAACCAAAGAGTGAGAATGGCGGTGGAGATTTGGGTAAACAATCCCCTAAAACTGACCTTGCTGCCGAATTTGAGGATGATGATGATGATTTCATAACAAATGAGGTGAAGAGAAGGTTGAAAGAACTAAGAAAAAACAGCTTTATGGCATTGATTCCTGAGGAAGAGGAATTATTTGCAGAAGAGGATGAAGAAGGAGAGGAAGGGGGTGATACAAGCTCCAGTGAGTGGAGGGACGTTGAAGCTGAAGTTCAGCAATGGTGGGTTGGTTTTGATGCTGCATATGACAAGTACTGCGACCGCATGCTCTTCTTTGACCGGATGATCTCACAGCAACTCAAAGAAGATGGTAAACATTTCTGTCATGTTCTTTTTTTTCCTCAAATATTTTGACATCTTGGTGATAAATCTTTTGTTTCTTGTTTTCATACACAAACACACACACACACACGTAAATAAATGTATATATCAGAGAGAATCTATTTCATATATCAATTGTCTTTTGTTCTTTTCTTTTCTTGTACTCATTATTTATTTTGTAACTTTAGGCAACAGCATTTATTTATTCTGGACTAGAAAGCATTTTGCTAGATTCATGAGATCTACACACTTGCGATGACAGTGATGCCATTTAGCTAGTTTATATATTAAAAAATCCAAATTGTAGCTTCTAATCTGATTTATGAGTAGTTCTCTCGAAGCTATTTCTTAAGAACAATCTAAACTTCAGGCAACAGCATTTTTTAGGAAAGAAGCTTTGGTTTATTTGGTGCTTTAATCTTTAAATTGGATAACATACTCTCTGCAAATTTTTGTTGGATTTGTCTTTCAAGTCTAGCATGAAGATCTAGTGACGCATTGCATCTATATTTTATTTGACAAGCCTTTAGTCTTGCAGGGAATAGTACCTTGGAGGATTTACTGAGAACAGGCTAGCATAAATGTGATTAATCTCAATTTTATGTCTTCTCCTATAGAATAGTAGGATGCTATTGGAAAGCTGTTAGTCCCACTTTTTGCTTTGTATTCCTAGTTTTTCCGGAATTACCTTAGAAGCATCCGGTTGTCCTCGTAGATATTGTTAAATCTAGGGTCTCCGTGGCAACATATATGCAAGTGAAGTGACAACTGAATATGCGTCTCACAACTAAGATAATGTATTTGTGGTGAACTCATCGTGCTTGTATGTGTTTTCAAATAGAGTGCCCTGCCTTAACAACTAGAAGTTGCTTCTACTCTCTACTTAAGAATTTTGATGTTGGCCATCCTTATTGGCAAGTTTGCTATCATGGTTAGTGAACAGCAATGTATAACATTTATATAGCATATCTTCATAACAAAGGTTTTTGAATCATCCTATCTATCCAAATGCTGAGGTTTTGTCCTACCAAATAATTGGCTGCTGATAATGGATAGCAGATTAGACAAGATATTATTTGAAATATATTCTGTAACTAAAAGTTCCATTATGTTACAGGCACCCAAGTCCCCCCAACTCCATCACCAAGGTCTGCATCTAAGAAGCTTACATCTCCTTTTCGGTGCCTTTCTTTGAAGAGCATTGACGATGAAGAAGAAACTGAACATCTGCAGCAGCCACAGTGTGATCCATGTCAGGATCTTGAAGTAGCCTATGTGGCTCACATTTGCTTAACTTGGGAAGCACTTCATTGTCAATATGCTCAGCTGAACCAAGTAATCTTATGTCAACCTGAGAAGCCCACCTCTTACAGCCACACTGCCCAGCAGTTTCAACAATTTCAAGTTCTGTTACAGAGGTTTATTGAAAATGAACCTTTTGAGCAAGGTGTCCGACCTGAAATTTATGCTCGTGCAAGGAATCTTTTGCCTAAACTGCTGCAGGTTCCTAAGGTTCAAGGTAATACTTGTGGGTCTTCAATCATGTTTAGATTGTTCTAATCACAGAACTAGATTTAACTTGATCATGTCTATAGTTTCACTTTCTGTCCTGAACTGGCAACTTGGTTTACATTTCCTGATAACAGAATGGCTATTTTTAAAGAAGATTTCTTCGTTTGTTTAATATGCGTGTGTTATAAAGCAAACTGCTTTATTATCTTGCAGGTACAGTTGAAAAAGAGATGGTGGATGTGGAATCAGATTTGACAGTCCATGTCCCTGAACTTCTCAGGATAATTGAGAACTCCATTATTACTTTCTACATTTTTCTGAAAATGGATAAAAGAAAAGCAAATGGTGTTCTTAACTTGTTTGTGAGCC